AAAGAGTGAAAAATTTAAGGGGGTCTGAATACTTTCCGTACCCACTGTATATATGCCACAAAGAAAGTAGAAGGGAAAAAACCTTATTGTAGATCCCTAGCTAGGATGGGATGACATTCACCGTATTTAAATTTGAATTATCATGCCTTCGTAAAATATGTAAACAGCAGATTGGGAGCTTAGAGCTGACTTTGAGAAAACAAAAGCAGTCACCCGAAGTGAAAACGTCTATTTTCACTAGTGACAACACATGCATTTGAAGATAAAATGCATAAAACACTTAAATAAAAATAAAACAATAAATAAAATAAATAAAAATAATCACAAAGAGTGAAAAATTTAAGGGGGTCTGAATACTTTCCGTACCCACTGTACATTTTACAGCTTTAAAAATGTTTTAAAAAATTTAACTAAAATTATGAAATATGAAAGATATCTATTGCAACACTGCTCTCCTTCAGTAAAAAGTGGGGAATGTTTTAAAACACCCTTATAGCAACAACTGACCCAGATTAGGTATAATAATAATAATAGGGTGTTATTACATAATATAGAAATATAACTTTTAGATTTTCTGAAGAAACGGTTGCTAAGGTGCTCCGAGTATTAGACATAATATTCCCAAATGATTCAGATCTGCTCTCTTAATGCAGGTCTATGAGATCTCTCCTCAACACGCAGCACAATTTGATGTATGATTCATTTTCAGTGGCGTTTAATACTTATATTTTGGTTTTGGGGTTTGTTTAAAACCACAACCCTAAGTATTGGTGATTCTAGCTTGTGAAGCCTCTCCATTCGCAAATTGAGAGAATAGGTTTATCGGCACAGGTGAATCCTTTTTTTTTTTTTTTTTACATTTACTACTAGTGCAGTACAAACACAGCTTATAAATGACAGGTAATCATGCAGTTTAATAAACAGACGTTAGAACAGAATTGACCGTCATCTACTTCCATGAGAAAACCTGATTAAAAAGCCACAGATATTTGAATAGTAGGAGAGAATGAATTTGCCTAACATGTAAATATGGGGAAACCAACGTGCAGCGCTTTAGGAACTTTCCCCACATGAAAATATCGCCTTTATTAAGAAACAAGAGCTCACGTTCTCCTTGCTATAACGTCTCATATAATAACCATAGAAGAAACCCATGACTTCTACCAGTGCTTCTGACTTTATTAGAGCCACAGCAATAAAAGCACATAGAACTGAAAAGGAAGTAAAGAACAAAAAGGACAAAAATGAGATGTTTACATAGTTTTACATAAAGCCAAAATAATTAAAGGTTCTGTACAAGAATAGATGGATAACAAAACACAATGTAGAGGGATGAGAGGAAAAGAAAGGCTGGAAAGAGCAGAGTGAAGTCGTTCAGCCGGCGGGACGCATCTTTGATGAACAATTTATCTGCGCAGGGAGGAAAAGTAAGAAAAAAGGTGATGGAAGGGACAGAGAAAGCCATCAAACACAAGAAGAGGGAAGAAACCACCACATACAGGAGCCACGATGCTTATTTATTCTACAGTCTCTCCATTAATCTCTGATATCAGAAACATATCTGGCTAATGCTATATCCCTGATAAATGCTGAATGGCCATAGAGGGGAGCCAAACAACCTCACGGCTGACTTACCAAGCAGCTCACGCTTCTAAACAACTACTACATATGACACGACAGATACGATCAGAAAGCATCTCTACACAGCAGGCTGTGGGCCTATCTTCTGAACAGAAGAAGACCTTGTTAGTAGATCAATTTTACACCAGAGGAGAGGAACACACCACACACAGGAAGTCACGGAGCATGAAACACTTCCCACTGTAAAAACATGGAGCATTTCTGACTATACATCACATGCTTTGGGGTTAAGACTTCACAGTACTGCCAGTAGGGCTGGGTCATATAGTCCATCTTTAGAAAGCTCTCTATATTATTGTGTTATACAATTACTTGTTTAACTTTCATAAAGATAGTTAAATGACTTTGAGATTAGATGGATTTCTTAAGTCAGAATAGCAACAATATCAGGAAATTCAGTTCGCTTTCATGAATCACTACATTTTTCAGTGAATCGGTTTAAACCGACTTTGATTCAGTGATGACTTTTTTCCCCACAGAAATCCCGGTGTCAAAATGTTTTCGTTAAAAAAATATGCACTACCTTTTCAAATGTTTGGGGTTGGTAAGATTTCACCGTTTTTGAAAGACGCATGTACACCAAGAAAAATTGTGAAATATTACTACAATTTAAAAGAACAGTTGCTCTATTTGAATATATTTTAAAATGTAATTTAGTCCTGTGATGTAAAGCTGAATTTTCAGCATCATTACTCCAGTCTTCAGTGTCACATGATCCTTCAGAAATCATTCTAATATGCCGACTTGGTGATCAAGAAACATTTCTTAATGTTGCAAACAATTTTTGCCGCTTAATATTTTTGTAAAAAAAAAAAAAAAAATACATTTTTTACGAATCTTTTAATATTGTCCTTTAAATGGTTCAAAAGAACAGTAATAGTAAACAATTTACTGCATCCTTGCTGAAGACTAGTAATATTTTCTATCATTTCTAATCTAATAATTAATAATATACATTTTCATATATTTATTAATTTATATTATTTTTAATTTTAGCATCTTACTTTACTGACCTCAAACTTCTGAACGGTAGGTAGTGGGTGTATTTTTTTTTTTACATGCATGTTATGTTAATATAAACAAAAATGAAATATTCTGAGCATTTATTTAGTGGAAAAAATATTTCATTTTTATACTTTTTTTTTAATTTTTTTTTTTAAACGTTTTCTCAAACATTTCAATTTTTTTATTTAATATTTTTTACAAATATTTAATTTTACATTTATATAACAAAATATAAATAAACTTAAAGCTGTATCACCCAGCCTTAGTAGCAAAAATGTAACCAAAGTTTTGAGTTAGAAGTTTTGTTTTCTCACAAGATTTAAAAAAGTAATACAATAGTTATGAATTCAAATCACAAAACTCCTATACACTGACTCTACAAGCCATAGCCTTAACATTAACACATGGATTTGCAATAAGCAAAATACTTCAAATACCTCAAATAACAGTACAGGACCCATAAGTCTTGTAGAGTTACAGAGATAGAGTTTTAAAAAGAATGAAGATACAAGACCTTATTTAGAGCGGGTGAGAGGGGAATTATGGGTAATGGGGGAGGGGCACAGGCAGAGACCGCAGATGAATTACATTGAAGTCATGTCGTTGAGAGCGTGGTCCAGCTCCTCGCTGATGGCTTTGTACTTGAGTTTCTGGGAATACAACTCATCTATCGGGATTCAGGACGGTGTGTTTGATGGAGAGGAGACAGAGAAGGGTGGAGAGGAAGAGGTGGAGGGAAGGGATAAAAACAGGTGCAGGAGTGAAGCATCCAATCCAGCGGCAAGACAGGCCCCGGTGAACAGTGACAGACAGCGAGAGGTGGAGGGAAAACAGAAAATAAAGTTAAGGAGGAATGGAAAGGAACTGAAACACAAGGCAAAGACCATGACACATTCGTCAGAGCCACCGTGAAATACCAAGCTGGGTCGCTCGCAGGTCACTTACTGAACAAGATGTTAAATTAAATCGGTCATCATTTATTCACCCTCAAAACCGGCATGACTTTCATTCTTCAGTGGAAAACAATTTCATTTCTGCAAAACGCCCAGAACACTCTTTTCAAGCCTGTTGTAGCTCTTAAATCTCATTCAACTCAGATATGGCTTGTCTAGATGTTATTCCAGGTGTCACTGGGTTCCGTGTTTCTTGTCATTGATATCAAACCTCCATGTCTTGAATATTTTGCATACTTTTTATATAGTGCACAAGTCATACACTGCTTTTACAGTATGTTTTACAGTATGTCAAAGGTTGTGTGTTAGCACATGCCGATAATATAAAATAAATTCACTACTGTTTAAAAGTTTGGGGTCGGTAAGATTTTTATGTTTTTGAAAAAAAAGTGTCTTATGCTCAGTCACCAAGGCTGCATTTATTTGATCAAAAATACAGAAAAAAATTAAAATATTACTACAATTTAAAATAACAAACTGTTTTCTATTTGAATATATTTTAAAACGTAATTTATTCCTGTGATGGCAAAGCAGAATTTTCAGCATCATTATTACATGATCCTTCAGAAATTATAATAATTTGCTGATTTTCTGCTCAAGGAACATTTCTTATCAATGCTGAAAACAGTTGTGCTGCTTATTTTTGTGGATACCATGATTCACTTTTTTTCAGGATTCTTTAATGAATACAAAGTTTATTTAAAGGGTATTTATGTAAAATATAAATCTTATGTAAAATTATAAATATCTGAACTATAACTTTTGATCAAGTTAATGCGTCCTCTCTGAACAATTTTTTTTTGTAAAAAAAAAAAAAAAATTTCCAAACCTTTGAACAGTTGTGTAAATATTCTTTCATGGTGATTTTATTGTCATTTTGGGACTCATTATCAGTTCCTATTATGGGAAAAGTGGGAAAGAAGCACTCCGGGAATTCATATGCGAACTTTGTTCATGTTCCACAGAAGTAAATGAAATCAAACCGGTTCGACATGAAGGCGAATAAATAACAGTTTTAATTTTTGGATAAACTATCCCTGTTAAGGTTCTTACTGATGCCTCATTGACCAGGATGTTGAATTATCACAGATACATTAAAGTGCAAACACGGCAGTACGGTTATGAAAATGAACTTGGGCTTGTGTAAATCCAAATGAGCAGGACAGGAGAAGACTATTTAACAGCAGCTCATAAAAGCCTAATCGAGTTTAAATGCTGCGTGTAATTGCACCTCAATAACACGGGTGTCATCTTATAAAACAATGTGAAGTCTGTGTGTGGATCTGCACAATGACTGGTCTCTTCGCAAGAGGTAACGCTTAACTGTGCGACTGAACGATAAGAAATATGAAAGATGGCCAGTAGGGCAGAAGGTTTGAGGAACAATGACAGTAGAGAATTAAAAGGTTGAAGGCTTTATGACCTGAAGCGAAAGCAGTCGTCGCTCTGAATACTTCACAATCACACGCATGAATAAAAATGGGACAGGGACTGAAATGACATGAATGAAAGAAAATGAAAGTCGTACCTTCAAGGTCATCAATGGTCTTCTCAAGCTTGGTGACTGACCTCTCAGCGAACTCGGCACGGGTCTCGGCCTGCAGCAGAAAAAAAAAGTCAGTAATTTCTAGCTAATAAATTGTTTAAATGCCCAGAACTGGTGAAATTGTTTTTTTTAATCAAATAAATTATTATTATTATATGTGATGTATACACCATGATGGTAATCTAAAACTATTCATATAGTCAAGTAAGACTTGATATACTAGCCTCCCCTGGACAGAAGGATGACTAAATATCATGTGACAAAGATGTTCATACCTCCTTCAGTTTGTCAGTGAGGACCTTGATCTCCTCCTCATATTTGTCTTCTTTCTGTGAGTACTGCAGACATCAACACAAACCAGCACACATGAGCACTTAGCACTACATTAGCACTCTGCTCAATAACACACTTAGGCTGTTTGTTATGGCACATAAACCTGATTTTTCTTCCCAAGTCTGATTTCTAGGACTGACCACCTTTTGTAAATGACAACATTATCATGGACAATGTAGTCAATATTCAATTATATCTACTTTGGTTGCCATAGTAGTGACTTAAGCACCAGCAAGAAGTTTAAGAGTAGTTGTAACTGTAGAAATTTCACATACACACACAAAATTGATATTACCTTTATTTTGATTATTGATAACTAGTGAGTGACTGGTAACTGTGATTTTTGACTTGAACATGACTGTGTCCACTGTCAATCTGAAAATTAAATGTATGTTTAGACTGTGTAGATATGTATAGGTAGATGCCACATTCAACCGCATCAGACACGATGATGTGTCCGCTATCTTGGACTGTATCTTGGTCAATGTGTCATCACTCACAGTAAAAATCAATGAGTTTTCCAAGATGCCACTACATTGTGCTGCCTCGGGTTGTAAAAACCACTGACATGTAAATTATCAAAGAAATGTGACAACTTTTCACAGATGAGAATGTGTTTGTTTTGTGTTTTTAATATGTACTAGGGCTGTCAAAACGATTGATCGCTATTAATCGTATCCAAAATAAAAGTTTGTTTACGTAATGTGTATGTACTGTGTATATATAAATACATGTATACATTTAAGAAATAT